GGGAATCATTTCGAAAAGCTGTAAAATACAAGTCAAGTTACATAAAAGAAAGAAAAACAAATAAAATAAAATAAAAAACGCCAGCATTACCTGAGGCCACTGAGGATTTCTTGCTCCTATCTTGGTCCACTGGCCTTCGTGCTTATAATATGCAGACACGACTCGACCCATAGCATGGGTATGGGTTCGGAAAGCGAATGGATGCAATTCTGTTGTCTGGTCGTATTCACAACTCATATTAATCTGCAATGAGAACAGATGTAGACCTGCTGCTCTCCAAAAAAGTTAAGAAAATCAAACAAACTTACTTGAACTTGATTTCTGCCAGGCGGGATAGACTCCCCTGACACAAACAGCAGTACCGCGGCAAAGTTTTGGGGTTGCTTTTGAGTCATATGCAGTGTAACTCCAGAGAAATCCTTCACATCACCAGCAAACGGTTGAGCATAGTGAACCTGCAAGTACAACTGAATTCAATAAAAATCCAAAACCAACTGTTCTCCACTATACAAAAGTATGCACAAATATACTATACACAACTGAAAGCGACTGAGGCATAACGAAGTTATCAGAACTAAAGAATGCACGACATTGGTACCTGCAAGACAATATAACGAATGCCGTCACTATCATGGCCCACACTGAAACCGACATTCCTCGGCAGATCAAGACTAGGAGCTGGAAGTCATCATATAAACAATGAAACAAATGAATATTTATGAAAGTGAGATAGTTTGGTGTTATCCTCACTAATGCTCCTGTTTTTGCAGACCAGCAATGCATGAACTACCCTATTTTGTGGGCCATAAGACATACCCGAGTCTTCGCCTGGTTGGGGGCCCTTCACAGATACTCCTTATGGCCCACAAAGTCGCGATTGCATATTGTGGATAGTAACGTCCAATGACAAACCTGGTCGCTAAATCAGTCATCAGTCGCTAAATGAGTCCCCAGGGAAGCAAAGAGCAAAACAAATCATGCAGAACCCCCTAAGGACCTGGTATCGTTTCTTATCCAACGCTAATACCAACCACTTGCAGAAAAAAGAAAAGAGAACGAAAAGCATTGTAAAGATCGCTTGTGACAGA